GGACAATATTCTGCAGCACTTACGAGTAGTTCCTAATTGGTTGATATAGGCCATTATATCAACCAACGAAGACGCGCCACGACAGACGCACGCAATGAGTGGTGAGCAGATAGTTGATATACACATTTGTATTCAGACATAGTTGGATGAAGATAAATAGTGATTTATTGCAGACATTAACTATACTAAATACAGTTCTACTTTTTACTTTAACCAAGTACTCGCTTCTTCTTACCGTCTTCCTCTGCACGTACGAGTGTACGTGAAGTTACGAGGCACCGCCTTATTCTGTCATCAGAATAAGTAGCTTGTACTATCACCAGTACAAGCTTCAGGGTGCCCCGTTACACCTGGTAGCACTTCGTAGTCCGTCCAAGGACCACGTTCACATCTAACATGAATATTGGTGATGATGAAGATGACCAAAGCTTTCACGCTACGCGTGACGGCTACTCCCATTTGAGCGATGTCGAATGGGATGCGGTTGAACGAATGGGTTCGACCATGGGCATCCATGCTGTTAGCGTCATGCTAGAGGCTCTCAATAGAGATGCCCAACATGCTACTATCGCCAAGTTCATTCAAAATGAACTTGACGCTGAACGCGAGAAAGTAGCCTTGCTTCACCAACAAGGTTCTCAACAAGCAGAGTTGTTGAGAGAACAGGGTGCTCAACAGTTTGAACTGTTGAGACAGCAGCAGGCTGCTGCTGGTGGGTCGACGCGAGTGCATCGACCCGAGACTTTGAAGATTCACATCTCCAAGTATAGGGGGGTCGAAGAGGACTCCCTCTCGAGATGGTTCGTCGAATTGGATGACGCCATAAGGGCGCGTCGCATCGACGACGGGGATATGCAAGTTGCATTTGCCCAGTCAAATCTGGCAGGACGTGCCAAGACTTGGGCACTGGGGCTCAAGTTGCACGACCCATATGCGTTTGGGTCGTTGGAAGTCTTCAAGTCGCGGCTCATACAAACGTTTGAACCGCCTAGAGCTGAGTTCAGGGCTCGAACCGAACTCTTGAAGCTCAAGCAGGGTAAGCGTGATGTGCACGCTTACGCTCAACATATACGACATCTCACGAGCTGTATAAGTTCCAATCCGGTGGATGAACACACGTTGGTTTCGGTGTTCATGCAGGGTCTTGCGGATGGTCCCGTCAAGACTCACCTGTTCCGACTTGAACTAGATTCACTAGAACAAGCCATTTCCATTGCGGAACAGGAAGACTTCAGTTTGAGACAGGCTCGGGCCAGCTCGACATCATATCGTCAACCGAGACGATATGACAGCGGAGGTCCAGTGCCGATGGAACTCTGTTATGTAGAGAGCGAGAAGGCCCGCTACAGACTACAAGAAAATGCAGAAATGCAACAGATGTCAGAACACAGGACACTACGCTTACGAGTGTAGTGCCCCTCGTCCAGTGTCTCGCGACACTGGGCGTAGTGACCGTCCACCCATGAGAAAGGGGCAGGGACGAGGGTCCGCTGTTGGTGCAAAGACGCAACAACGGGATGGACCGTCAAAAAACGGACAGGATCAGTAGGTGCGGAGCACCCTACTGGTCTAGCAACGTCAAGAGAATTTGTGGGCCTCTTGATGAAGGTTGCTCCCAACACACAAACGTTGTGCGTTGCTGCTCTAGGTAATGAGGTCCCACTCATTACCTTGAAACTCGAAGTGACGAATAAGTTGTCCCTTCGAGCTCTAGTCGATTGTGGGGCGTCCAACAATTTTGTGCGACGCCAATCGCTAGAAGATGGTCACTTTAAGTTCAGTGAATGTGACACACCTCCTACGAGGATGACGGTACGTCTTGCGACAGGCGCATCCGTAACCGTCATGAAGCGTATAGTGAAGATCCACTATACGCTAGAAGATACCCAATATGACGATGACTTTATCGTATTGGATTTGGATGACAAATTTGATGTCATCCTTGGAATACCGTGGCTCAGAAGGTACGAACCACGGGTAAACTGGCAACATCGGACAGTAACGATGCCTGCCGCTTGTTCATCAGATGGCCATCTGATGAACGTTTTGGAGCGCCCACAAGCGTGTGGATGTACTACGAGTGAGTGCGATGTCCTCACTTGTGGTACGGTCGTTAGTACGACTGCACAAAACCTTAGTGTACCAAACGGTTACACTTCGGAGCAAAGTTCCGGCGGCTGTGAGGAAACACAGGCTGCGCCGAAGGTCCACCACTCGAATAAGTCGGGTGGACTGGGACAAAGATGTATCCCTAGCGGGGAACATCTAGAAGATAAACAATCGATCGCTCAGGTTAAGCGAAACGATAATCCTAGATCGACTGGAGAGTCTTTCGTAGAGGATCTCGCTGTGGTTGCGCAACCCCAGCTAGAGGAAGTAAAGGGAATAAGTCCCAAGATTACAAATACGGCGGAAATAAGTTCCCCGAAACCCGCGGGAATAAGTCCCCGGGAAGCCGAAGGAATAAGTCCTTCGAAGCCTGAGGGAATAAGTCCCCAGGAAATGACAGAGACATTGAATGTCATAGTCAATAACGGATCAAGTGTAGGCGCTTATACACTTAATCTGATTGCGCCTCCGAAGTTAACTTCGGAGATCACCCAGTTGCCAACGCTCGAACATAAAAGGTTCTTGCGTGATCTGCGTAGTGGCAAAGTCAAGCAGATCTGCATACTCGTCGCTGACGACGAGTGTGTAACCGACATAAGGTCAGCAACAGTGTTCACTGAGAACGAGAGAGTTCTCAGTAGTTCATCTATGGACGAGAGTGTCCTAGATGAAAAGACACGAATTGAGCGATATGACTCCCAATCATGGGAATCGCTCAAGACAAATCCTCTCTATGAAGATTTGGTTGAATTCAAGGATGTATTCCCTGAAACTGTTCCGTGCGAATTACCGAAGGATAAAGGTATTCGACACGAGGTCGAGCTTAAACCAGGCTCGAAGTACTGTGTCATGAAGCAGTGGCCACTGCCTCGTGAACAAGTACTTGCGATCGACAAGTTCTTTTTGCCGATCGTTTAGCTGCGGGCCATGTGACGGAATCAACTTCCCCACATAGCTATCCGACCTTCTGTGTGCGAAAAGCAACAGGAGGGTGGCGGATAGTGCACGCGTTCAACAAATTGAACGCTGCAACGGTACCGGCTCAGACGCCGATACCGAGGAAGGACGTAATAATTGATGGTATGTCAAAGAGTACCATCTTTTCGTCCATGGATTTGATGGATGGCTTCTATCAAATCCTTATGCGGGAACGGGATATACCCTATACCGCAGTTAGCACGCCTAGCGGCATGCTCTGGGAATGGCTAGTAATGCCACAAGGGCTTAGTAATGCCCCTGCCACGTTCAACAGATGTGATACACATCTGTTGAGACCAGTACGAGAATTCGCGCCGAGTTATTTCGATGACGTATTCATCCATAGTCGAGCTATGGATGGAAAGTCGGACGTTGAGGTTCACAGGTACCACGTCCGACAGGTTCTTACAATCATGCGAAAGCATCAATTGTATGCTAACCTCAAGAAGTGTATATTTGCAGCAATCGAAATACCACTTCTTGGGTGCATCGTTGGTAAGAACGGTGTACGTCCTGATCCCGAAAAGATCAAGGCGATCACCGACTGGCCTGTTCCAGTTAATGTCAAAGGTCTTCGAAAATTCCTTGGGCTAGCGGCGTATTTGCATAAGTATTCACGCAATTACGCCGAGATGACTGTGCACCTCTCTCGTTTGTTGAAAAGGAACGAGAAGTGGTTATGGAACGCTGAATGTCAGCGCTCCTTTGATGGTATCAAGCAGAGCTTGATAAAAACACCAATCCTAGCAATTGCCGATCAGGACAGGCCATTTCATGTGGTCTGTGATGCCAGCGAGTTCGCAATCGGCTGTGCATTAATGCAGTACGATCTTGAAGGCGTTGAACGCGTCGTCTGCTATCAGTCGCGTCAGCTGCAACCAGCTGAGCGGAACTATCCAGTGCATGACAAGGAACTCCTTGCCATGAAGTATGCACTCGCGAAGTTCAGAGTCTATCTATTAGGAGATAGACCCTTCGTTGTTTACACTGACCATGCGTCATTACGCACGGCAGTGAACAGCCCGCACCTTTCACAACGAATGGCGCGGCGGTTGTCATTCTTTGCGGAATACAACTTTACGGTCGAGTACAAACCAGGACGACTTAATGTCGTTGCTGATGCACTCTCACGTCGTCCCGACTTTGAAACAGTCGCGAAACCCAACAGTGAGACAGTCACTGTTGCGGTTATGACGTCCTCAGTCCCATCTACAACGTTGTATGATGATGTGAGGCGGGCATACGCCCAAGATGGTGAGATAGTGAAGTTGTTGACACATCTCTCCCAACCATCCCGAGAATCGTTGAAACGATTGTCGTCTGCGTATCGATCTGCATCAGATCGATACACTACTCGTAACGGGTCACTGTAATATACAGCCGTTTCTGGTGACACATCACGTGTTGTCATTCCAGATGATACTGATCTGCGTTTGCGGATCATGTTCGAGTATCACAATGCTCCTATAGGAGGACATCGTGGCCGGGAGAAAACATATCTCACGGTAAGTCGAGACTTTTACTGGCCCCGCCAGTATCAGTTTGTGCGAAACTATGTTCGCGCATGCGAAGTCTGTCAACGAGTGAAGTCAAGTCCTTCACTGCGTGCACCTTTACAGCCTCTACCGGTTCCGGCTGAGTGCTGGGAATCCACCTCAATGGATTTTGTCTTCTGGTTACCCAAAGACGCACGCGTGAATACGGGTATTCTCGTATTTGTTGACAGATTCAGCAAAATAGAACACCTTGTGGCTGTACCCGAGTCAATCACGGCAAGTGGCTGTGCTTGTGTCTTTATTGACACCATCTTCCGACTTCATGGGTTGCCCCGTGAACTCGTATCAGACAGAGATCCACGCTTCACTGCTGATTTCTGGCGTTCCGTGTTCAAATCACTCGGAACGCGCTTGAAGATGTCGACATCTGATCATCCCGAGTCCGATGGTCAGACGGAACGTGCCAATCGTGTCCTCGAAGAGATACTTCGAGGATACGTATACTCCTTTAAGAGTTGGAGTGAGTTTTTGCCAATGGTAGAGTTTGCCATTAACAACTCGGTGCATGCGTCCACGACACATACACCGTTTTACGTGAACGGCTTGCGCCATCTGCGTGTACCCACCTTACTAGAGTGTAACTCTGGTTTAAGGGGGGGGACTCGCGCGAGCAAAAACCGATTTGGTTCACGCTCATCACGCTCTGACGAAGAGGTCATTGCATTTGATGCCGATATCGATAACATCGATATCGAAGAAGATGATGCCAGTGAGAGTGCGGAAGCCCTCACTGAAGAAGATGATCCCAGTGAGAGTGCGGAAGCCCTCACTGAAGAAAAGGTTGATGTTGCTGCAGTGCGCTCACAGCACACTGAAGCTAACGAGTCATCAGATGAGTTCATACTGGCTCGTGAAACGGTAGTCCGTTTTGTGCAAGACTCCATCGCCGAAGCGGTGGATAAGCAAAAGCAAAACGCTGACAAGAATGGAAGGGCAAACACTCTTTTATTTATTAAAGGCGACTTAGTCCTACTGTCTTCGGTTAACATACCAAAGCATGTAGTGACTAACGTGGGTAGTAAACTTCTACCCAAGTACATCGGTCTATTTCGTGTGTTGCATCACCTAGGCAATGCATACACGATCGAGTTACCACGTAAGATGCGAACGCATCCCACGTTTTACTTTGGTCGGCTTAAGCCGTACCATCAGTACGCTGCTTCTTCCGATGAAGAACGCCCTTGCGCTCAAGCATCTCGCAGAGAGCCTTGTGCTCCCGATGGTGGGCATCGACAAGGGTCTGAAGAGCAGCTATCTCATCCCGAGACCGGTCAACAATCCCACGAGCTACCCTTAGCTCGTCACGAAGAGATGTCAGAGATCTCTCGTTCTCAAGCTGAGCAAAGGCAAACTCAGCTCGATGCTTCGAGGCAGTGTCCGCCATTTGGAGACGCCTATTCCGCTCATGCTCGAGATCGTCGCGTAACCCTTGCGTTACGCGATCAAAGAAGCTCTCGGGAACACACCGATCCACATGATCGTGTGGAGAGCGTCTTTCCTCCTCTTCCACCTCCATTAGAGGACTCTCGCGGTGGCCAGCGCTATCTAGTTGAGCAGCTGTTGAACCACCGCGACGTGAACGGACGTCGGATGAGTTATCTCGTCCGGTGGCGCGGCTATCCCCCGTCCTGGGATACTTGGGAGCCCCTCTCCCAACTGATGATCGACGTACTGGGTCTGGTTGAGCAGTACGACGCGGCACATCCTGTGCCGCAGAAGGACCGCCGGAGAAAGTCTTCCCAGCACGGTCGTAAAGCGATTTCAGGTTGTCAATCCCTTCGTACATCTCAGTAGAGATACGTACGCGCCACCACGGGCTATTAGGGAGGTAAGCCTCCTTAGGTGCTCGTGCAGAGTTGTTCACACAACATGGGCACGAGTCTCCCCAAGAGAGGCAGGGTAATCCTTTCTCCCTTGACAGACGATGCAGCTTGTAGCGTGCACCTGTCGGGGGTTCGCTTTTCAAACTTATCACGAGCTTTGATAAGTTTGTCGTTCCAAGCGTCACGACCTACATCCTCGAGGTTATGGATGTAGGCGTTCCACGCCTGAAGTAGTGAGGGACCATCACGTTTGTGATTCCCACTGTACCATCGATGTCTAAAGAAAGCATCGATGAAGAATTCATGTTCAGCGCGATAGTTTTTCGCGCTGGGGTCAAGTGATGGATCCTTGACGAATCGAACAATCGTGGTCGATAACGATCACTCGTCGTCGCCGACAAGTGATCCATGACTGATTTAGGAGGCATCCATGCCTTCTTCTCAGGAGCGAGACGCAACACATGGCGGTCCCGCTCTTCCTGCGACGTGCCGACAGAAGTACTGGCACCTCGCTGTGAAGTGGTGTCCATAGGAGAACCGACACCACTATTAGCGCCCGAGTCTCGCGATCTCGAACGCTTTCTTCGGCGATGGTTCATCTGATTCATCAGATGAACCAAAGATGCTGCGACGCAAAGCATCGTCCATGCCACGCTTGGCAGGCGGCTTAGATTCAATCGCCGTCGATACGGATCCGTCATCCTTATCAGGAGAGTACGAGACACCGAGCTCGTACTCTGTGAAGACACGAGTGTCTTCATGACCAGCGCCTGCATCACCAAGTGACACAGGCTGGGTCGCTTCAGCAACCGATGAGACATCAGTTGCTGTTGTTTCTGCTTCGGCGTCCGCACAGAGACGTGCGGACGCGCTCTCAGCTGCCTTGTTCGCGCACCGCATGGGCTTGTTTACCATGCGATGAGATGTTGGAAAGTGGACGCGGACCAACAAGTGCAAACCCCGTCCCAAATGATTTGGGACGAGTATCCATTTAGTCAATCAGTCACTAAAGTGACTGATGGTTAAGGGGGGTGATGTAACGGGGTGAATCGTTACATAACAATTTATAAGAAATTGTTAATAGAATATAACTATAAGAGTTATATTCTCAAAATATTGTCATAAGGACCAATATTCTGCAGCACTTACGAGTAGTTCCTAACTGGTTGATATAGGCCATTATATCAACCAACGAAGACGCGCCACGACAGACGCACGCAATGAGTGGTGAGCAGATAACTGATTTACACATTTGTATTTAGACATAGTTAGATGAAGATAAATAGTGATTTATTGCAGACATTAACTATTATAAATACAGTTCTACTTTTTACTTTAACCAAGTACTCGCTTCTTCTTACCGTCTTCCTCTGCACGTACGAGTGTACGTGAAGTTACGAGGCACCGCCTTATTCTGTCATCAGAATAAGTAGCTTGTACTGTCACCAGTACAAGCTTCAGGGTGCCCCGTTACAGCGAGGCAATCACATTCACTGTCCGTCACCCACCCGTTGTTACCGCCTAGCCCCAAAACAGAAGAAGACTTGGCACGGGTAAGAACCATGTCTTGCCGTGTACGCAATCAGTCTCAAAGGCCCACTGCTCCCGCGACAGGCTTTGTACATGCCTCCTACGCAATGCTATTGATTCTAACACGTTATTTGCGATTCGCAGCTTTAAAATGCCCATCATCGGACGTCTTCATCTTCTAGGGTGTACGCTCTTCGAGAAGGTGAAAAATGGCTGGGTGAAGTCCAGGCCAAGGACAACTACTGTTCACTTTATTTGCAACCACAAGTATTTTGCATCAATTCTTCACTTGGTTTGCAACCACAAGAATTTTGCATAGAGATCCTCGTTGCACAGGTATTCCGCGTGGTACTGCTAAACATTTGCGATCTCTCTGCTAGCAGCATGACACAGTTGTAACGGGGCACCCTGAAGCTTGTACTGGTGACAGTACAAGCTACTTATTCTGATGACAGAATAAGGCGGTGCCTCGTAACTTCACGTACACTCGTACGTGCAGAGGAAGACGGTAAGAAGAAGCGAGTACTTGGTTAAAGTAAAAAGTAGAACTGTATTTATAATAGTTAATGTCTGCAATAAATCACTATTTATCTTCATCTAACTATGTCTAAATACAAATGTGCATATCAACTATCTGCTCACCACTCATTGCGTGCGTCTGTCGTGGCGCGTCTTCGTTGGTTGATATAATGGCCTATATCAACCAGTTAGGAACTACTCGTAAGTGCTGCAGAATATTGGTCCTTATGACAATATTCTGAGAATATAACTCTTATAGTTATATTCTATTAACAATTTCTTATAAATTGTTATGTAACGATTCACCTCGTTACATCACCCCCCCTTAACCATCAGTCACTTTAGTGACTGATTGACTAAATGGATACTCGTCCCAAATCATTTGGGACGGGGTTTGCACTTGTTGGTCCGAGTCCACTTTCCAACAATTCATCGCATGGTTAACAAGCCCATGCGGTGCGCGAACAAGGCAGCTGAGAGCGCGTCCGCACGTCTCTGTGCGGATGCCGAAGCAGAAACCGCAGCAACCGATGTGTCATCGGTTGCTACAGCGTCTCAGCCTGTATCACTTGGTGATGCAGGCGCTGGTCATGAAGACACTCGTGTCTTCACAGAGTACGAGCTCGGTGTCTCGTACTCTCCTGATACGGATGACGGATCCGTATCGACGGCGATTGAATCTAAGCCGCCTGCCAAGCGTGGCATGGACGATGCTTTGCGTCGCAGCATCTTTGGTTCATCTGATGAATCAGATGAACCATCGCCGAAGAAAGCGTTCGAGATCGCGAGACTCGGGCGCTAATAGTGGTGTCGGTTCTCCTATGGACACCACTTCACAGCGAGGTGCCAGTACTTCTGTCGGCACGTCGCAGGAAGAGCGGGACCGCCATGTGTTGCGTCTCGCTCCTGAGAAGAAGGCATGGATGCCTCCTAAATCAGTCATGGATCACTTGTCGGCGACGACGAGTGATCGTTATCGACCACGATTGTTCGATTCGTCAAGGATCCATCACCTTGACCCCAGCGCGAAAAACTATCGCGCTGAACATGAATTCTTCATCGATGCTTTCTTTAGACATCGATGGTACAGTGGGAATCACAAACGTGATGGTCCCTCACTACTTCAGGCGTGGAACGCCTACATCCATAACCTCGAGGATGTAGGTCGTGACGCTTGGAACGACAAACTTATCAAAGCTCGTGATAAGTTTGAAAAGCGAACCCCGACAGGTGCACGCTACAAGCTGCATCGTCTGTCAAGGGAGAAAGGATTACCCTGCCTCTCTTGGGGAGACTTGTGCCCATGTTGTGTGAACAACTCTGCACGAGCACCTAAGGAGGCTTACCTCCCTAATAGCCCGTGGTGGCGCGTACGTATCTCTACTGAGATGTACGAAGGGATTGACAACCTGAAATCGCTTTACGACCGTGCTGGGAAGACTTTCTCCGGCGGTCCTTCTGCGGCACAGGATGTGCCGCGTCGTACTGCTCAACCAGACCCAGTACGTCGATCATCAGTTGGGAGAGGGGCTCCCAAGTATCCCAGGACGGGGGATAGCCGCGCCACCGGACGAGATAACTCGTCCGACGTCCGTTCACGTCGCGGTGGTTCAACAGCTGCTCAACTAGATAGCGCTGGCCACCGCGAGAGTCCTCTAATGGAGGTGGAAGAGGAGGAAAGACGCTCTCCACACGATCATGTGGATCGGTGTGTTCCCGAGAGCTTCTTTGATCGCGTAACGCAAGGGTTACGCGACGATCTCGAGCATGAGCGGAATAGGCGTCTCCAAATGGCGGACACTGCCTCGAAGCATCGAGCTGAGTTTGCCTTTGCTCAGCTTGAGAACGAGAGATCTCTGACATCTCTTCGTGACGAGCTAAGGGTAGCTCGTGGGATTGTTGACCGGTCTCGGGATGAGATAGCTGCTCTTCAGACCCTTGTCGATGCCCACCATCGGGAGCACAAGGCTCTCTGCGAGATGCTTGAGCGCAAGGGCGTTCTTCATCGGAAGAAGCAGCGTACTGATGGTACGGCTTAAGCCGACCAAAGTAAAACGTGGGATGCGTTCGCATCTTACGTGGTAACTCGATCGTGTATGCATTGCCTAGGTGATGCAACACACGAAATAGACCGATGTACTTGGGTAGAAGTTTACTACCCACGTTAGTCACTACATGCTTTGGTATGTTAACCGAAGACAGTAGGACTAAGTCGCCTTTAATAAATAAAAGAGTGTTTGCCCTTCCATTCTTGTCAGCGTTTTGCTTTTGCTTATCCACCGCTTCGGCGATGGAGTCTTGCACAAAACGGACTACCGTTTCACGAGCCAGTATGAACTCATCTGATGACTCGTTAGCTTCAGTGTGCTGTGAGCGCACTGCAGCAACATCAACCTTTTCTTCAGTGAGGGCTTCCGCACTCTCACTGGGATCATCTTCTTCAGTGAGGGCTTCCGCACTCTCACTGGCATCATCTTCTTCGATATCGATGTTATCGATATCGGCATCAAATGCAATGACCTCTTCGTCAGAGCGTTATGAGCGTGAACCAAATCGGTTTTTGCTCGCGCGAGTCCCCCCCTTAAACCAGAGTTACACTCTAGTAAGGTGGGTACACGCAGATGGCGCAAGCCGTTCACGTAAAACGGTGTATGTGTCGTGGACGCATGCACCGAGTTGTTAATGGCAAATTCTACCATTGGCAAAAACTCACTCCAACTCTTAAAGGAGTATACGTATCCTCGAAGTATCTCTTCGAGGACACGATTGGCACGTTCCGTCTGACCATCGGACTCGGGATGATCAGATGTCGACATCTTCAAGCGCGTTCCGAGTGATTTGAACACGGAACGCCAGAAATCAGCAGTGAAGCGTGGATCTCTGTCTGATACGAGTTCACGGGGCAACCCATGAAGTCGGAAGATGGTGTCAATAAAGACACAAGCACAGCCACTTGCCGTGATTGTCTCTGGTTCAGCCACAAGGTGTACCATTTTGCTGAATCTGTCAACAAATACGAGAATACCCGTATTCACGCGTGCGTCTTTGGGTAACCAGAAGACAAAATCCATTGAGATGGATTCCCAGCACTCAGCCGGAACCGGTAGAGGCTGTAAAGGTGCACGCAGTGAAGGACTTGACTTCACTCGTTGACAGACTTCGCATGCGCGAACATACTTTCGCACAAACTGATACTGGCGGGGCCAGTAAAAGTCTCGACTCACCGTGAGATATGTTTTCTCCCGGCCACGATGTCCTCCTATAGGAGCATCGTGATACTCGAACATGATCCGCAAACGCAGATCAGTATCATCTGGAATGACAACACGTGATGTGTCACCAGAAACGGCTGTATATTACAGTGACCCGTTACGAGTAGTGTATCGATCTGATGCAGATCGATACGGAGGCGACAATCGTTTCAACGATTCTCGAGATGGCTGTGAGAGATGTGTCAACAACTTCACAATCTCACCATCTTGGGCGTATGCCCGCCTCACATCATCATACAACGTTGTAGATGGGACTGAGGACGTCATAACCGCAACAGTGACTGTCTCACTGTTGTGTTTCGCGACTGTTTCAAAGTCGGGACGACGTGAGAGTGCATCAGCGACGACATTAAGTCGTCCTGGTTTGTACTCGACCGTAAAGTTGTATTCTGCAAAGAATGACAACCACCGCGCCATTCGTTGTGAAAGGTGCGGGCTGTTCACTGCCGTGCGTAATGACGCATGGTCAGTGTAAACAATGAAGGATCTATCTCCTAATAGATAGACTATGAACTTCGCGAGTGCATACTTCATGGCAAGGAGTTCCTTGTCATGCACTGGATAGTTCCGCTCAGCTGGTTGCAGCTGACGCGACTGATAGCAGACGACGCGTTCAACGCCTTCAAGATCGTACTGCATTAATGCACAGCCGATTGCGAGATGGCTGGCATCACAGACCACATGAAATGGCCTGTCCTGATCGGCAATTGCTAGTACTGGTGATTTTATCAAGCTCTGCTTGATACCATCAAAGGAGCGCTGACATTCAGCGTTCCATAACCACTTCTCGTTCCTTTTCAACAAACGAGAGAGATGTACAGTTATCTCGGCGTAATTGCGTGAATACTTATGCAAATACGCCGCTAGCCCAAGGAATTTTCGAAGACCTTTGACATTAACCGGCACAGGCCAGTCGGTGATCGCCTTGATCTTTTCGGGATCAGGACGTACACCGTTCTTACCAACTATGCACCAAAGAAGTGGTATTTCGCTTGCGGCAAATATACACTTCTTGAGGTTTGCATACAATTGATGCTTGCGCATGATTGTAAGAACCTGTCGGACGTGGTACCTGTGAACCTCAACGTCCGACTTTCCATCCATAGCTCGACTATGGATGAACACGTCATCGAAATAACTCGGCGCGAATTCTCGTACTGGTCTCAACAGATGTGATACACATCTGTTGAACGTGGCAGGGGCATTACTAAGCCCTTGTGGCATTACTAGCCATTCCCAGAGCATACCGCTAGGCGTGCTAACTGCGGTAAAGGGGATATCCCGTTCTCGCACAAGGATTTGATAGAAGCCATCCATCAAATCCATGGACGAAAAGATGGTACTCTTTGACATACCATCAATGATTACGTCCTTCCTCGATATCGGCGTCTGAGCCGGTACCGTTGCAGCGTTCAATTTGTTAAATGCATGCACGATCCGCCACCCTCCTGTTGCTTTTCGCACACAGAAGGTCGGAGAGCTATGTGGGGAAGTTGATTCCCTCACATGGCCCGCAGCTAAACGATCGGCAAAAAGAACTTGTCGATCGCAAGTACTTGTTCATGAGGCAGTGGCCACTGCTTCATGACACAGTACTTCGAGCCTGGTTTAAGCTCGACTTCGTGTCGAATACCTTTATCCTTCGGTAATTCGCACGGAACAGTTTCAGGGAATACATCCTTGAATTCAACCAAATCTTCATAGAGAGGATTTGTCTTGAGCGATTCCCATGATTGGGAGTCATATCGCTCAATTCGTGTCTTTTCATCTAGGACACTCTCGTCCATAGATGAACTACTGAGAACTCTCTCGTTCTCAGTGAACACTGTTGCTGACCTTATGTCGGTTACACACTCGTCGTCAGCGACGAGTATGCAGATCTGCTTGACTTTGCCACTACGCAGATCACGCAAGAACCTTTTATGTTCGAGCGTTGGCAACTGGGTGATCTCCGAAGTTAACTTCGGAGGCGCAATCAGATCAAGTGTATAAGCGCCTACACTTGATCCGTTATTGACTATGACATTCAATGTCTCTGTCATTTCCTGGGGACTTATTCCCTCAGGCTTCGAAGGACTTATTCCTTCGGCTTCCCGGGGACTTATTCCCGCGGGTTTCGGGGAACTTATTTCCGCCGTATTTGTAATCTTGGGACTTATTCCCTTTACTTCCTCTAGCTGGGGTTGCGCAACCACAGCGAGATCCTCTACGAAAGACTCTCCAGTCGATCTAGGATTATCGTTTCGCTTAACCTGAGCGATCGATTGTTTATCTTCTAGATGTTCCCCGCTAGGGATACATCTTTGTCCTGGTCCACTCGACTTATTCGAGTGGTGGACCTTCGGCGCAGCCTGTGTTTCCTCACAGACGCCGGAAGCTTGCTCCGAAGTGTAACTGTTTGTTACACTAAGGTTTGTGCAGTCGTACTAACGACCGTACCACAAGTGAGGACATCGCACTCACTCGTAGTACATCCACACGCTTGTGGGCGCTCCAAAACGTTCATCAGATGGCCATCTGATGAACAAGCGGCAGGCATCGTTACTGTCCGATGTTGCCAGTTTACCCGTGGTTCGTACCTTCTGAGCCACGGTATTCCAAGGATGACATCAAATTTGTCATCCAAATCCAATACGATAAAGTCATCGTCATATTGGGTATCTTCTAGCGTATAGTGGATCTTCACTATACGCTTCATGACGGTTACGGATGCGCCTGTCGCAAGACGTACCGTCATCCTCGTAGGAGGTGTGTCACATTCACTGAACTTAAAGTGACCATCTTCTAGCGATTGGCGTCGCACAAAATTGTTGGACGCCCCACAATCGACTAGAGCTCGAAGGGACAACTTATTCGTCACTTCGAGTTTCAAGGTAATGAGTGAGACCTCATTACCTAGAGCAGCAACGCACAACGTTTGTGTGTTGGGAGCAACCTTCATCAAGAGGCCTACAAATTCTCTTGACGTTGCTAGACCAGTAGGGTGCTCCGCACCTACTGATCCTGTCCGTTTTTTGACGGTCCATCCCGTTGTTGCGTCTTTGCACCAACAGCGGACCCTCGTCCCTGCCCCTTTCTCATGGGTGGACGGTCACTACGCCCAGTGTCGCGAGACACTGGACGAGGGGCACTACACTCGTAAGCGTAGTGTCCTGTGTTCTGACATCTGTTGCATTTCTGCATTTTCTTGTAGTCTGTAGCGGGCCTTCTCGCTCTCTACATAACAGAGTTCCATCGGCACTGGACCTCCGCTGTCATATCGTCTCGGTTGACGATATGATGTCGAGCTGGCCCGAGCCTGTCTCAAACTGAAGTCTTCCTGTTCCGCAATGGAAATGGCTTGTTCTAGTGAATCTAGTTCAAGTCGGAACAGGTGAGTCTTGACGGGACCATCCGCAAGACCCTGCATGAACACCGAAACCAACGTGTGTTCATCCACCGGATTGGAACTTATACAGCTCGTGAGATGTCGTATATGTTGAGCGTAAGCGTGCACATCACGCTTACCCTGCTTGAGCTTCAAGAGTTCGGTTCGAGCCCTGAACTCAGCTCTAGGCGGTTCAAACGTTTGTATGAGCCGCGACTTGAAGACTTCCAACGACCCAAACGCATATGGGTCGTGCAACTTGAGCCCCAGTGCCCAAGTCTTGGCACGTCCTGCCAGATTTGACTGGGCAAATGCAACTTGCATATCCCCGTCGTCGATGCGACGCGCCCTTATGGCGTCATCCAATTCGACGAACCATCTCGAAAGGGAGTCCTCTTCGACCCCCTATACTTGGAGATGTGAATCTTCAAAGTCTCGGGTCGATGCACTCGCGTCGACCCACCAGCAGCAGCCTGCTGCTGTCTCAACAGTTCAAACTGTTGAGCACCCTGTTCTCTCAACAACTCTGCTTGTTGAGAACCTTGTTGGTGAAGCAAGGCTACTTTCTCGCGTTCAGCGTCAAGTTCATTTTGAATGAACTTGGCGATAGTAGCATGTTGGGCATCTCTATTGAGAGCCTCTAGCATGACGCTAACAGCATGGATGCCCATGGTCGAACCCATTCGTTCAACCGCATCCCATTCGACATCGCTCAAATGGGAGTAGCCGTCACGCGTAGCGTGAAAGCTTTGGTCATCTTCATCATCACCAATATTCATGTTAGATGTGAACGTGGTCCTTGGACGGACTACGAAGTGATACCAGGTGTAACGGGGCACCCTGAAGCTTGTACTGGTGACAGTACAAGCTACTTATTCTGATGACAGAATAAGGCGGTGCCTCGTAACTTCACGTACACTCGTACGTGCAGAGGAAGACGGTAAGAAGAAGCGAGTACTTGGTTAAAGTAAAAAGTAGAACTGTATTTATCATAGTTAATGTCTGCAATAAATCACTATTTATCTTCATCTAACTATGTCTAAATACAAATGTGCATATCAACTATCTGCTCACCACTCATTGCGTGCGTCTGTCGTGGCGCGTCTTCGTTGGTTGATATAATGGCCTATATCAACCAATTAGGAACTACTCGTAAGTGCTGCAGAATATTTGTCCTTATGACAATATTCTGAGAATATAACTCTTATAGTTATATTCTATTAACAATTTCTTATAAATTGTTATGTAACGATTCACCCTGTTACACTCGCCGCCTCCTATTTATAACCTTGACTGACAATAAATAATTTTAAAGTCGGTTCAAACATGTAGCCTTGTTTTTGACGTTGTAAGCGCTGGTGAGAAGTAAAATGTTATTAACAGAGACTTTTTACCAACATCTCTTGCCTGATTGCTATTCTTTCACATGCTTGGTAGCGACATGACAATATCTGTCTGAATGAGGTGTTTTAATGCAGTGCGAGGAGCAATGGTCTCGATAGCTTCATATTGTGGACACTAAAGCCACGTCCCTAGTGTGTATGTAGCCTGCCACATCTTAGCTAGAAACGATGCCGCTGATCAAGCTTGAAGCGCACAAAGGATACACTGACTGGCAAGAACAGCAGCAATCCTCTCGCTTTGGCACGCTTACACAGAACAGGATTGCATCTAGCTAACGAAACACTCGATTCGACTGACATTAGTGCGTTCACCTTCAGCTTACGTAAATGTCTGGATGGCTCTTCAGTTGCCTGAACACACACTTTCAGTATAGATATCGAGATGCAATTTTAAATGCATACTCCTACTGAACACGCCGACCGGCGAGTGCTCGTGCCATGTGCATTATAGGTCGCGGTGGACGATCGAGATCGGTAAAGAGATGTCTTGGTACCCATCTTCACCTACAACATCCCATCTGGTCGTGGCATTGTTGCTCGGGGTATTCAGCACACACCAAGTCTATAGCGCACAGCCCATAGTGCTGCTCGGGATTCCTCAAGCTACACTCTGAGCATACGCATTACTTTTTCCCACTCGATGAAGAAAAAGATGGGAGAGTCAGCACAGAGTCACAGCTTTCTTCTCCGTCGTAGTGCCACTCACTCACTTCCAGATTTGCGGCCAATCACGCAATCAAATCGTTGTGGCACCGGGGAGTGTGTCAACGCAGTATGCACGCATACATCGGCGAATTAGCGCCTAGTAATAAGCCCTCGCCGACCCAAGAGCGCGGCGACTTCGAAAACGGCGCACATGTGGAAGGAGGAACCGGGCACCGTACGCGAGTGGCATGGAGTGATGACGAGTTAGGTGGCTCGAGTGTGCCCACGCCCGTGTCGGGCGAGAGCGTGCCAATAGGAGTGGAAAAGACGGGGCAAGACGAGACGATAGGGTATGGGCACGGGAATTCTGACCAATTCCGAGCTTAGACAGGCGGCCTCGGCCCCCCAACTACTGCGCCTATTTGTGGGACCCGTACTGATCGGCGTTCGTACGCGGCCGCAGTGGCTGACTCCTTCCTTGACGGAGATAGTCAGTATCCAGTGGCTACAGAACGGGGTGCACAGGGGAAAGGACCGCGGGTCGGGTCCTCTCCTATCGCGGGAGCTTTTTCCTGTGACGTTGTGGCTCGATCTCGAAATATCGGGTCGGCGTATGAGCCTCACTTGTTGGTGTCTGCGGGCTCGGGACCGGTGAGAGCTGCAACAGAGCAGGGAAGGGCCGACACGGTAGACGGGCAGGGTCCGGGACTTTTCGCTGACTCCAATGAGGATGGGAGTCAGTGCTCATCTGCTGACCACACCCGGGTGCTGGTGCGGGCGGCTACGAGAGTGTGGACCGACAGATCAGACGATGATCTCCGTTCGATGATTCCGCTTGAAGAGGAGGCTCTAGCGGCATGGATGATGGGGGCTATCATGCTCCAGTCTCCGCCTGGATTTTTGATGTGCACGCACCCGAGGGCTACGCGAGTTGTAATGCTTGATTTTTTCGAAGAGTACCTGGAAGGGAAGGTCATTGCGATTGTCCCTCCGTACGTGCGCATGCCTCAGTACATCGCCGAGAAAACGTTGCTACTCCAGCTCTTGGAACGCAGTGAGGGGCAGACGGAGTCCGATGTCATGAGTCGGGAATTGGTCAAGGGCGCCAAGCGGACCAGTTACGATGCCAAAACGAGGCGACTGACTTTCATTATGCCGGATCAAGCGGCAGCAGCAAGCTGGCATGCAAATGATTTTGTTTCGCGGAAAGCGTCTTAAGCTGTTGTGCCCGGCCACTATGGAGCGCGAAGACATTACTGCTCCTTCGCTATTAGCCACGTCAAGCGGTAGACACCAATTGCAATACCAAGTCCGGATTTTGGTCAATGGAGTGGCGGCAAGCACGGTTCAAGCTATATTGGCGTCTAGTGTGGCTTGTACGGTCACATCCGTGTCTCGTGGGTGCCCACTCGGCTCGGAGGCATATGATTCCAACTTTTTCGTGGCAACTTTTGATATGGTGTCATGTCCCGAGCAACTCAAGCTGGTCACGCACATCGCAACATCCGAAACGGAGATCTTTCTCCACCATTTTCGTCACTTTCAACGCGTTCCCTGTTTTTCCTGCTATTCGCCATATCACTCGAGTGCTAAGTGTGGTGGACGCAAAGGCGCTTTTCAAATTCAGCATCACCGAGAATTTACTGGTATTCCAATAGCTCCTCCTCACGTCAGTGGGTTGACTTTTAACCACTTGGACGTTGCCGGTCGCCTGCAGCATGTCTCTGGACTGGCGGATACTTTGGTGGCAACCACGGCGAAATTAAAGGCTGATGGCAACAAGGCCCCACTGTTAAGTGAGGTCTCGCAGGTACCTCCTTGTGCTGGGCAGTCGTCAGTTCCGAACACGTCTCCGCTTGCCGGTGGACAGGCCGTTCGGGGCGGGGCTACTCGCGTCAGTGGTCCAATGACGAACGAGTGATTCGATCCTGGAGCGAACAAGAAAAAGAGGGATGTGCGCCCCGCAGATGTTCCGGCTAGTCGGGCAACAGGACCTGCTGTGAAGCTACCCAAGCATCCGCAGTTCAACAAAGATGGAGGTGCAAGAAAGTCACCACTCCCGAAGTCGAAGGCTGTTGCCCAAACTATTTCCACGAACACGGTCGCTGACAAAAAGAAACCACCTCAACAGACTAAGGCAACTGTTCGTCAAAAAGGGCAATCGACCACGGTCCATTCTTCGCCACCACCCTCCGCTTCTTCGAAGGCGGACACCCAGCGCACTCTGGCGATTCGGGAACTGGACCACATATTGAGTGGTGCTCATGAGGAAGTTGCAGAACCTGCACCTATTGATCCGGGGGTCGATTCGGCGCTGCCTTCGACGAATTTAAAAGAGGGGGACCCTTGAGGCCGTTCGATCGCAAGTAGCAACCGCACAAAAAACGGTCGAGGAACTTAATTTAGCAGCCGAAGAGAAGCAGCGCGCGGCAGACACCACGAAATCATGCTACTTTGCGGCTCACGCTCAGGCACTCGAAGTGGCTATTGCTACTGAGAAAACGAGTAATAGAGAACCTACTTCTCCTGAAGAAGTCAGTGAGGAATTGCTGAGGATGGAGTACGAATACCGCACCGCAGGTGCGACGGCGAACCGAGCGAATGCGGATGCAACGATATCAGCGAAAACCCTCGAAACACTGACACGTCGGTTGGCAAAGATTATACCGAAACCGAAGCCTGTGACCGAAGATACGGCCCCGCAAGATGATACACCACCTCGCGAGATGCCTACGGAGATGGCAGCAAGAAGTAGAGAGCGGAGTCGGTCCATGATACAACGCTTGTTGGCTTCGTATGTGCGCCGCAAACGGGGTGTACCAAGTGAGCCTATCGATAAACCTCTTGGTACGGTACCTACCGCGAAGGCGCCTCGTGATCCGGGTCCACCGGATCTACCGCCGATGTGCCCCCCAGAATCGGACGGGCAGCGTCCCCAAGATCTCGATGTTACTATGGCGGAGAGCACGGTTACGTTCGGGAACACTATGTGCTTGAATGATTTAAATGGAGGGGCAGTTACTCCGCCTCCCTGTGCCGCTAGTGTACCTATTCCAGCGGATCTAGCCAAGGCAATTGAGGAAGAGCTTAAGGCCTCGTCTGGAGTTATCGACGTTTCCGACACGGGTGCCTCTAGTTTATTAACACGTCCTACCGCTAGCATGGGTGGTCTCTGTACGCAGGTAGCGGTCCGGTCCCCGATGGAACAATGTCGCGCTCCCGATCCTCACGATCAGACTTTACGCGCAACAAGGATTCGCAAAATTCCAGATAGCGCATCTGCTGCGGTGGAGGCTGCTGCAGTGCCGGAGAGCATGAAACAAATTTCATTAAACACAGCGGCTATTGGCAAATGGGTTAGCCTGCACAAAGCGATGGCTGCACTACCGACTACAATGCCAGTTGGACCTAAGGGACAAATGGCCTGGATAAACGCGTGCTCCTTGGACTTGGCGGGACTCGTCTGTGGACTACCTTATCCTGTTGCTTACCTTGCCTCGATGTCGGGTGAAACCCTACGGTCTTTTGGACATTCCATCAACAGTTAATCTCAACTGGCTGTAATTCGGCGACACACCACACACGCAGATAAAGAACTTCGCGAGCTGTGCAAGGGTTGGGCCGCCACGGCAGACGCGCAAACCGGTCATATTCGATGGAGAACGACGGACAATATACAACGCTGGAGACGCTTTAGTAAGCTACAGCCCGATTTGCTGTGCGCGACTGTCGTCGAACCGCTTTCTGACTTGGATCAGTGGGGAGTTCTCAATGTTCTGTGTGTATTGCTCCCGAAGCTCGCACCTTTTGAGGTTAAGATGAACGTGGCAATGCCGCAAACCAAGGCTGTACTATATCACCTCTCCAAAGAGGTGCGCGCGGCGGTGATTAGCATTATATGCAAACCTGCCAACTGGCAGCCGGCCCTTGACCTTATCGCTAAAGATGGTCAACTGCTGGACTCTAGGTGCTGAGGGCGTCTCGGCTGAGCTAGAGGATGCATCGTCGCGGCACATGCCACAACGTCGTCAAAGACGCCTTTTTAAGACCTCATGTATTCCACGCGACAACAGCATAGGTATCCATTCGCAGAATGTCGCAGGATTTCCCAAGAATCCGGAACATTGCGCAACTTGGTTCAGCCACTTCCGACAGAGCGAAGCCAGGGGAATCATCGATTTGGTCCTTTTACAGGAAACGCGGGTCACTTTAGGTGAGGCAGCTCCTCTGGACAAGCTTTACAACTCCTCCTGGGGATTCGTGCACAAACTCGGACGCTCGTTGTGGACCGAGTCCGAGTTCTCTCGTGGAGGTGTGGCTATTTTATTAAACCCATACTCAACAATTACGGAAATGGTTCCGTGGTATGAGGATCAATGGACACAGCATTGGATGGCTGTCCGGGTCTGTCTAATGGGCGAAACAGTTCTTGTTGTAAACGTTAACGCCCCAAGTACCAAGACTGAAAGAGAGGCGCTGTTCTCGAGCCTTCTACTTATTCTTCAGGGATACGAAGGACCTATGTTTGTTGGAGGGGACTTCAACTGTACTTTGGAGCCGCGACTTGACCGTTCTTTTGTCTCGCCGCCAGGAAGACATGATTCCTTGGCGCTTCGGCGGCTTCTCGGCCGAGTGCAGCTTAGCGATGTTCTTGATGGTGATCTGGAGATGGCCGAAGAAGAAAGAGATGTACCGGCGTTTCATGCGGCCTCTCACACTTATTTCTACACTCTTCCGGGCGGTGGATTGGCTAGTTCCCGACTGGATCGGTGGTATGTGAGCTCTCGCCATGCTGATTGGATTCGTGGCGTTGCTTTGTCAGTTCCTGGTCCAGCAGCTGACCACAATGGCATCAGTATCAGGATTGGAGTGCCGCGTTATGTGGTCCGTGTACGTAAGCCGAGGCACGTGTACCCTGTTCCAGGTTGTGCAAACACAGCCGCGCATAAAGCAATTGTTGCGGCCATTAAGCTGGCACAGCTTAAAGCGGACGAGACTCTTTCTGTTCCGCCGTCGGACTACATCACAGCCCGTAGATTGGCCGACTGGTGGGATGAATGGAAGATCAGGCTTCACAAAGTTCTTTTTTTTTGGCGACGACCAAGACCGCGCGTCAAGGTATGACAACAAGCTATCGGCAGCGGCTCCGTCGGCTCTATGTAAGACTGGACGCAGCTCTATTGGTGGCGCGTACACTTGATAACTCACCACCAGGATCTCATAAGGACTGCAACAAGCCTAGCACCACCGATGCTCCGGTTGGACTGCGGCGTAATGTTGCGGAGTGTCGACGCTTGTGGCAGAGATCCAAAAAAGAGCGCATTCTTGTTCAACACACGTATACTCCTGGAGAAACATCTCGACGTTTTTTCGCCCGGGTGGCGACTAAATTTCAAGACAACACCATTGTTTCTTTGGGCGGTAAGGCTGCATACGGGCCAAATCATTCTCAAGAGCTGGCTGATGAAATGGCGGATGGCTGGGAGCGTATTATGACTCATTCCTTTGCCTGTCCCGACGCTACCGCCGCTTTTCTTTCCCGGGCAGTCCCGCCAGGACCAGTTGATGACACTACTGTGATGTCGGCCGTTTCCCCCGATGACGTGAGTGCGGCTTTAAAGAGGCTGAAACGTGGGAAAGCCGCGGGACCGGACGAAATTAACAACACATTTTACAGAGATTACGCGGAAGCGCTCAGTCCAGTACTCGCTACATTCTACACCAGATGGCTTACGTGCAGCGTGTTCCCGTCTTCCTTCGGTGAAGCGAACATTCAGTGTTTGAAGAAATCTGCGTCCTCCGCCTTGCCGCTCGATCATCGCCCGATTGCTCTCCTCAACAGCGACTACAAGTTATTTACCAAGATTCTTTCGTTTCGGGTACGGCCATTATTGTCGCATCTCGTTTTGCCGGCTCAAGTTGGTTTTGTTCCAAAGAGGTCGATCCATACATCTCTTGACATTTTCGCGACGGTACGCAAAGCTGCGACTTTGGACAGCAGCCTACATGGAGCCATTGTGCTACTTCTCGATTTTGCCAAGGCTTACGACACGTTGCAACGTCCACATCTGCTTTCCGCTCTGACATGGCTTGGGTTTTCGCCTCATTTCGTATCAGTCGTGGCAGCATTACACCACGACACTACCTGCCGATTTCTTGTGAATGGATACCGCACTCGTCGACGTGACGTTACTTGTGGAATACGGCAAGGATGTCCCCTTGCGCCACTTCTCTTTATTTTAGCCCTCGATAGTGTCTATCGGGTGCTACAAGCGAGGGAGGACATTCGGGGGTGCCTATCTCCACTGGAGGGCGGGCTACAGAGTTCAAAGTATCGGGATACGCTGACGATACTGCTGTCTACCTTCGCAATCGGTCCTCGGTTACGCCTGTTGTAGCTATTCTAGAGGAATTTGCTCATGTGTCGGGTCTCCGGACGAATCGGTCGAAATCAATGATAATTGAGCTGGACCCTCGCGTATCAGAGCAACCTTTTAGCACCTGTGGTCTCACTCTGCAGGCCCCTAGTGACTCTTGCAGGTATCTTGGTGTATTGGTGGGACAACAGGACGCGGTGGCCAATAACTGGAATAAGTGCATACGTTCTATATGGAGCCGACTTGTCTTAGCCCGCGAGAAGACGCACACAGTGGAACAACGTGCTCTGCTAGCAAGTGCTATCGCGGTGCCCAAAATTAACTTCTTAGCACGGCACTGTTGGCCTCCTCCCGCAGTGGTTACCCGGTTGCACAGCTTAAAAATGGACTTTGTATGGGGTGTCCGAGATAGAAAGCGATCCAGACCCTGGGTATCTTCCGAGATAGCGGCCTTACCTATCCAGCAGGGAGGACTAGCGGTTCCCTGTATTCGGACGGAATTGATGACGATGGCGGCAACAGCAGTTGGACAATGGGCTGCTACTGTCTCTTCGAGAGACTTACTAATTGGTGACTTCTTATGGGGATCTACCGGGTCGGGTACGGCTTACATTACGCCTTGTTGGACGGAAGACAAGCTCCCTCGATATCGCGCAACGCTTTGGCTAACCGGGTCTGAAATTGTTGGACTTTCTTCGGCTCAACATGCACGCCAAGGTGCGGTCAGCGAGGTCTGTAGACGAGCCTTGTCGTTTACGTCGAGAGCAGCAGTCGCCTATAATGAAGACGGTAGTGTCACAATTGATGTTCGGCGGGTTATTGATGACAGATTGCGCGTTGGGATGCGAGCTGATGTAGCAGCATCAGGGCGCTTTGACCACCGGTGGCTGGCATACGCCACGCTTAAGGATATGTCGTGGCTCAGAGATCGACAGGGTAAGGCATACAGCTTGAACGGGGCCGACTTTGCGCGAAACTTGAATTACCTTGGCGAGACAATGACGTGGACGACCCTGCAGAGTGGCATGGTCTTGTTCTCTCCTACGCGTGACATGGCGTCCCAGTCTATGGCAAAGCGACGGCATTTTGGGTCCTTCTGCCTCGCGCTGCTTTACAATTTCCCGTCACTGGTATATCGACCACTGGAGCCTGGGTCTGTGATTGCATACTCTACAAAGGTGCACCAGTTCCATGACTGGCTTTTAACTGGTGACGGTAAGTCGCTCAGACATTTCGATACGGGCATGGAATGTGGAGTGCAACCGGTCGCGTCGATGGCGGCATGCGATATAGCCGCGTCAACAGCTAGTAAGTCTCCTGTTCACTTTGGAGCGCATCCGGCGCTTACTCGCGTTGTCCACATGTGGGCTGGACGACGAAGGTGGCGGCCGCAACGACGTAAACTGAAACAGATTATCACCCGGCGGCGCCGTGCTGTAGGGACTAGACTTCTTGATGAACGTGTGGCAACGACGGACTTTCACGTGATCTCGGAAGGTACAACATTGATTACTTGGAGGGACATTCGACGAATACGAGCGTCCTTTCCGACAAACGCTCAGACGCTGTATAGGCTAAAGAGTAACAGTTTTCCGCTTTGGAATTGGGCGAAGCAAGATCTGTCTTGCCCGGTCCCTGAGTGTGCGAATGCTGGTCCAGATCTGGCAAGCCATATCTTTTGGACATGCTCTAGTGCGCGTCGTCACTGGGAGTTTCTCCTTGATCGGTGGCGATGGCTTGGAACTTTCCAGGAGGCTGAATTGAATGTTTGGGTGTTTGGCCTGGACCTCCCGGCGATTCCACCCTACGCCTGGGATGTAATTAAGCAATCCATGGACCCAGGCACTAATTTATCAAAATCTCAGGCTGCTATATTTCCGGCAGCTAGAGAGCTGTGGCGTTTTGTTGTATCAACGACCCTTCATGCAATCTGGGTCGAGCGCCTCCGCCGCATGGAAGACTCGTCGTTGTCACAGGAGGTGCACATAGCCAGCGCCAAGACGAGCTTTCGTCGGTCGGTCAGACGGTTTCGGCGATCAACCTATCAGCCCGAGATGGGGGAAGATGGGCAACTGTTTGCGCAGGTACGGTCGGCCTTGGCTGATACCCTACTCTGCTACGATGAACCTCCTTCGTTACTAGTCCGGCCTATCGACCGGCTCCCTGGCGAGCTTTACCTCCTCTTCTTTGACGGCGGGTCCCGCGGAAATCCAGGTCCAGGTGGAGCCGGGTCTGTGATTGTACGACTACACGTTCCGACTCACGCCGCATGCGTTCTGTGGGTATCAAGTATGGCTTATGCATCTGCCGATACCACTAACAATGTCGCTGAATATTGGGGGCTCGTGCATTGTCTTCGGCAAGCAAAGACAGGCGACTACTCACCCCTGCACGTCATTGGGGACAGTGCGCTTGTACTTTCTCAACTCCGAACACAACACCCTCCACGCAAGCCGCACTTGGTGCGTTTATTCAACGAAGCACGTGCCATCGCTAACGATATTGATGTCGCCAGCTGGGGACATCAATACCGCACCTTCAACAAAATGGCGGATCGACTGGCAAATATCGCTATGGACACGGGATCTTCTATACAAACGCACGCTATCTCGAACCCAGGTCTGGTCCAGGAGGCTTCAAACTTCCTTGACACTGATGTCAATCATTGGTTGGAGACCTCTCAAGCCGACCATCAACTCGTCATACAGGGCCCCGGGCTGACCTCGAGGAACCTGATTATCTCGAGACAGGAGTCTGCGCGTAGGCGCTCTGCTGTGCGAGGACTAGCGCTACCTAGTATATAAAGTAGCGGTCGATTAGGTAACTTTGTTGCCGGATGACAGGATATAGCAGGTCGTACGCGTACCTAAATATACCTCACCTTCTCACTCACTCACTAGTGCCACTCACAAGTCTGCTTCGCGTCCCTTCCCACGAAAATGACTCAAGAGTGGCTGTCAAGTCGTCGAGGGACTTGCCGACCAGACTCGAATTACTTGATGCAGTTATGACAGCATCCATCCGGACTTTCCACGGTGTCACAAGTGTAGTCTTTGATGGCTTGTCTATTCTACCGTCTGACAAGAGTTGTTCACCTTCCATGTCTTCGCCGAATTTTCTCAACTTCCGAGAAACTTCGGCGAACATGTTGTCGTGAGGTCGAGGAGTTGTGTTGTCAGTCGTTGCATCAGCACCTTTAGTCAGCAATAGAAATGCTCCGTCGATTGTTTCGGGAAACGATCGTCTATCCTTGACAACAGATGCTTTGCGAACGTCTTGCCTACATTCGAGAAAAGCATGAAAATGCAGTTGCAGAACAGTCTTCTGCTCTAAGGTTGGTTGCGTCCGTCGGCCAAGGCTTTTGCGATTAGTCTGAGCTGATCAAGGGCGTGAGCGGTAGGCCGCACAAGTGGCCGTGGCACGGCATGTCAGTAATGTCCTATATCGGCCTTGTCATCGTTCAGCTTCTTCTAGCCGACACAACGACCTGCCTTGTGCCAGTCTGCTCGGGGACCGCACTTGCAGAGCACGAGGAGCACACAGTTGGACAACGACAGCCACGGCCAGCTTACCTCATGCCTCGTCTGCGATATGTAATCAAAGTGGTTTGTTGCATCGGTGCCTTCCATCTAGACACGACTTTTGACTGGTAGCAAGTCGCGGACGCTTGGAAGTCCGTGTACAGACGAGTTGAGGTCTGTAAATCGGAGACATCTCAGCTTCAGTTGTTGTTGGACTGGCCAACGA